TAACTTCTATCATCCATACATATCATATAGTATGTATTGGGGGTGGCGATTCCGTTGAATTTATATGGTATATACCAATTATCCCCAGAAACTGAAACGAATTACTTTTTTTCGATAGTCAAAGAAGTCCAAAAATAAAAAAGAAAGTATATYAAATATAATACATGAGATATATTATATATATGAAAGGGGTGACGTCATGGCATTTTCAACACAGGATTCAGTTTATTTACGCGCCCCCTTTAATCGTAATCTCCTCAGGGAACTTGCGACATATATATCATAACTACGGTCATAAAATCTGACGTCGAAATCTGGGCGTATCAAGAGCAGTACCCACCTACCTATAGATGTATCATATTATTATGATGCACTATAACTGCTAAGCCGAATTTTTTTCCCGGCACATAACGATTTATTTCACCGCTTTTTCCCTGGAACGACTGACCGCAATAACTTGTGTGGGCGTTTTAATATTATACGACGACTTTGATTTTATGCGAACCGTCAATACGAAGAAATTAATTTCACCGATAGTAACAATCGTTACAATAATAAAATTATACAATGAAAGTATTAAGACGTCGGAMCACGTGTCAGGACTTGAACTCGGATAGCGATGAGTTGAAATTCTCTGATAATGTATTTAAAAGYTCGCGTTATGGTCGTCTATATAATATTATATTGTGTTACAGTTTTAGTTTCGGTTTCGGTACCCAAAGTCTCATCAAACCACGTATTATATTCACTTGTGTAAACAATAGTTGAATGTATAAAATACATAATTGTTGGGGAGGGGGGGGGGGTGTTAACACACATAGACATTTTTATCGGAAATGCAGTAAAAAAATATTGATACAAAATAACAGTATAATCATACGTGGGAAACAACGGATGTGATGAGGTCGTACAAATCGAATTATATCAAATTCATGATAATTTGATATTGTGGATACATAAAAAGCACAAAGAAAACATTTCCAAAAATCGAATACCTACAACGTGCATAATATACGGCGTACAATTATATTATACGCTTTTGACATCATCCCTTAAACGTTAGGTTGAACACAGTCATCCAAAATAGCCGGAAAAGCGGTATGATAGTGAATTAYGGAGGATATTCCAACACATAAATAAATGTCACTCRACGCCCATGACACGGTCTGCCTATGCATAACTTGTATACCATTATTCCGAATTCACAGTTTTCTCGCGGATGGTTTACGAAATCGAACTAAAGGGTGGACGATGTAGGTATAMAATCTATGGTAGGTAGGTATAAGTGGTGATATCGAATTTTCTTTAATGACGGGGACGATAATGTACGCCCCGCTGCCAAATGAATCTCCATAATACGCATGATATAAGGTTGGGTTTGACAAGATAACCTGGCCTAGCACCCGTCGTGTGTACGTATAGTATAATATAATATGGTACGACAATAATAATGAATAAATAAGTTTAAATCACGCGACAACGGTGTGTATACATAACAGGTGTAAGAATACAATACTAACGATGATGAGACTATATTATAATAATAACGAGATATTTTGTAATGTATAAATAGGTAGGTAGTATTACAATCGTCTCATCGTCATCGTCCTCTCGCGTAGTCCTGCGAGTGATCGTAATCGACGACGACTGACGACGACCCCGGAACGGTGACGTGATGCAACGGCAAGTACGATTTGTCGAGGTACCGACCGGTGGCCAGCCCACACTTGACGATCAGCTCACCCGACTCTGCGCCACCGCCGTCGTCGTCTTCGTAGTCGTCACCGCGACCGCTGTCGTCGTCGTCGTCGTCTTCGCAGTCCCTGCCACGACCGATCTCGTGATCTCCGGCCACCGACCCGTTGACGGGGTGCTGCTGTTTCTGCTGGTCTCGGCCGAACCGCTTGATGGCCAGGCCGACCATGAAAAAGCCCACGGCGGCCGTGAGCGCGACGACTGCCTTCACCAACACCGGCCCGACGTTGAAGCACAGGTAGAGCAGCGCGTTCAGCGAGCTCGGCAGTCCCTTAACTTCCTGCAAACAATAAGACGCGTGTGAATTTATTTTTTCAGTGACATGTGGTGTGTTAAGGCATACGGACATCATGTTTAAGAAGTTTGTGGGATTTAATAGTTKCAGTAAGAGCTAGAGACCTAGAAAAYCATATTTAAAAATAACTATTGAGGTAAATAGCCTCCCCCACCACTTCCTATAAATATCATCACTAGAGTTTATTAGTCAASGATACTAGAGACTCATCCAGTAATATAAATGTTGAAAATTAACCATCGTGTATAGTAAAAACGCCTCATGCCGTCCACATTAAAAATATTATGCAAACAATTAAGTAAGTATGTTATAATTTATTTTATATCTGTGTAGACAACTTGTAAGAMAGTTATATTATGTACCTAACGCAAAAATGTAATAATTAAAATCGATTATTAATATAGTAATTTCGATGTTGTTTCAATGTATCATCGTCTCAAATCGATAATTTAGTGAATTTGAATATTTTGTTTCTGGGCTAAACATAATATTATGCCCAAGAATATTAAAGTACGTGTTGTAGTTGAATTTTGATTACCTACTCAAATATTCTAAACCATCATAGGTCATTAAAGTCATGGAAAGCAAAAACAATAATTTTAAAATATTAAAATATGTAGCGAGAATAATACATAATTAAACGTTTTTGAATTCGTATCTGTATAATTAACGGCATTAATTTATTCAATTACATATTCACTTATGACCCACTTGTCAGACAACATTGATTATTATCGGACATCCTTGTGCCTCAACTAGTTTGGATAACATTTGACACTATGCGACGGTGGGTGTAATAAAATTATTATTCTAATTCGTGCGTACAGTCTCCTATTTTAAACTTTTAACATCATATATAACACCAGTCGTTACGAAATAATATTATAYGTCAACATCGATTCCTGTAAGAAATTTAGTTTGGTTGTTTGCAAACGGTCAAAATTTAAGTTTATTTGTTCTTATATAAACACCAAACATTAAAATAATGTAGACTGATTAATGTGCTGTGCTGATTTGAAGGTATTCAGTCATAGACGTTTGTGAAAGCGAATGGGGAAAATCACAATAGCTATTTATTTTATTTTTTTTTTTTAATCGGTTCTATTACTATATTTTATAAACCCACTGAATAGTTTATTGGGCTCTAGAGCCCACTTTTAAAGTGAGATGAAAAAAGTTTTACAGCTAAGTCACTAGCAGCTTCAGCGATTACCATGTCACGTTATACGGATGCTTCTATGATGTTTTTTGCCCAACGATTTGTCTTTACACAACTCTTATATATTTTTTTAAAGTACCATTATTTTAAAGTCATATAAATAAATAATTTGGTTGCCAAACAATAATAATTATTTACCATTTTATGTACTTTAAATGATTAAACGTGATTTTTGTTTTTTTCTAGAAAATTCAATAATACGAATACCAATATACATATATATTATAAACTAAAATATCACACTTGAAAATTACCAAAAGCATTTTTCTTATTAATAATTTCCCCAAATAAAGCAGACAACATATTTTTTTAACAATAAGTAATTTTGTGTCTGTTACAATGTAAGTCTATTTACTTATATAATTGTAAGTACAATATGTAACGTTATAATATTGTTATCTGAATAATAAGAACAACTCAAGGGTTAAGGTCAAGAAACCATGCCCAACGTTATGTTTTATAAAGGGATATATATATATATATTTAAACTTGTCTAGATATATAGGAAGATTATCTGATCCATTATCTGTTTTAAATTATTAAATCATCTAGAAAAAAATAAACTGTTTCACCTACATTTCTGATATTTATATCTTAAATTTAAATTATATATTTGTCTAGATTTAAAATATTCAGTTTGTACACAATTTAAATTATATGTATATTATTCCAGTTATTTTGGTCGATAACAGTTTTTATAAGTTATGTAGATAGGTACAAAATTATTGAATTATTTGAGTTTTATATGTTATTCAAACACGTAAATATTGTCCTAAAATGTATACACATTAATTGAATTTATTTTATATTGAAGTTAAATTAAATCGATCGATATTGAATCAATATTTTAATTGTTTTTTTATAGTAAAAATATTCATAGTATTTATCAAGATTAATTGTTTTATCTTGAACTTTTTAATGGGTACAAAAATTAAAAAAAAATTAAAAAATAGCAAATAATGTATTTTTTTTCCCAAAAATGTCTTATCATAAAAATCCAAAAATCTTGGTTTGTTATTATTTTTATTCTAAATTGTATTCTGATCTTCTTTTAAGTATTAATCGATACATCGTATAATCTACGGAGAATTAGTGGAATTTTATTGTCACTTACACGATAATAATATAATGCATATGATAATATTATACAATAGTATGGCTATATATACACTAATCGGGATACCAAGCAACATTAACCCCACGCTAATATGTTTCACCTTCCTGTTCCGGTTTACGCTTACATGAAACTTATTTTAGCGATGTTTTAGACTTATAATTGTGGGAAGTACACGCATATAAAATTATCGGATGGTTGTCGTATTGTCCACGTTAGTTTACACGTTTGTGTCCATGCTTGTGTACATGTTTGTGTACACACATGACTGTCGATATCGGATATAACCTAATGGTGTTTCGTTTTCTCATTTATCGGATATATTTCCCATCCTTGACATTAAGCTCAGAAGAAATTCCTGTAATACGCTCAATGGATATTTTATGGCGGAATCAACAGCACTGATGTGATAATACAAAATGGACGTCGTTTAAAAATTATTCTTTCTATTATGTATCCGTACCTACGACAATATAATATTATATCCGACGGCCGAATGTCAAGGAAAACCACGTGCCTCCGTGTGCTCCGGACATATACCACACATGTGTATAATAATATTTATTATTATATTCCTCCTAMGTCCACGCACAACCTCGTCGATTCATCGTTTTTCGATATCGATTCGCAGCGAAAAGTGCATATTATATTATACATTTATACATAATAATATTATATGATATCACTTTTTTGGTACCGAGAATTTGGAAGAGTTTTTTAGATCTGATCTTGACTGCTCAGTCGACTTAATGTGCTTTTAACTTTTACACTTGCGTTTTGAAGGATAAAATTATATTAATTTATCGAGATTGCTAATTTCAAGCTAAGTTATTTGTATATTGTGTATGTATATAAAACAAAAACATAAAAAGTTTCCTACTCGAAATCAGTCATGAAACGGATTCTGGGAAATCGTTGTCGTCGATTCGTCTTAATAAATTATGTGTTGCCAAGAATAAATAATTAAAGAATATGCTCCTATTACCTATACGTCATATATTATGAAATTAAAACATTTATATCAAATCATGTTGTTCATAAAATATTGAACCATTATTTTTCTTTTGTTTCTATATTTGAATACAAAAAAAAAAAAATTATGTAGGTAACTTCTAAGATAATCCATAACTGCTTTAATTTTTTTTTTCATAATGTAAACATATTCTATACTGTTATGCAATATGATATTAAAGCTTWAATATTTAATTTGATTTTCTAGGTTAGGTATTTAAGTTTATCTGCTCATATTTTCCGAAAGTACGAAAAACATCATTGTTTGATTAGGCTTGTCGATGTGGTAAAAAGAGGGGTTGGGTTGAGGAAAATCAACTTAGATGATACCACATAGAAAAAATACAGTTCTCCCTATGATTTTATCTAGTTGTCCCCTCTCTCATTCAATCATTTGTCACGTAAAAAGGGCCCATATCAATTAAAGTTCCAAAGTTAGGGTTTTCAATTCGATCTTAATGACAATTTTTTTTATACTAAGTTCRATTTTTTCTAACTTTACTCCATAAGATTAAAGTTTAATCAGAAAATATGATTTGTGTATACGAGATTATCATCATTATTATTATTATTATTAACAAAAATGAACACCCCTCTTCACACCAAAAAACAAAAAAAATTCCCACTGTGGTTAAGTAAAGAGAAGTCTAGGTCCGTGAATTAAAAAATGTGATCAACAYTTTCAGATTTTAAACTGTAGCTAGTAAATTAAAATTGGTATTTATTTTTAATGACAAACACTAACTATCTCAAAAAGTACAAATTTTTATCGAAATATTTTTCTTCACATGATTTGTATTTTTTAGATTTTGATTTTTCTTAATCTATTAAGCACACAATTTCATTATGATAATGAAATGATATGAATATGATATTCRTATTAGCAATATTTTTTAAGAACTCTAACGCATACATATCAAATTTCATACTAATATTTAATTAGTATTATACTCAACTTACCAAATCATAAGAGTAAAGTAGTATTCAACTAATCATTTAGAAATTTAATTTTACATATTATATTAAAGTTTTCAAACAAATATCTAATTTTGTATAAGATATTTAAATTCTAAAATGAATGCTATTCAATGTAAAAAATTAATAGTTAAAATGATAAAATATAAAATTTACTTGCATTTTTAACACATGTAGTAGAAAAATATTTTTAATATGATTTCAATACAATGAACTATAACTGTTAAATGAATCGACCTGTATATACGAATCGTAACAATATCAGTCATTCATAAAAAATAAAAATAAATAGTCACAAGTGTGTGGCCGCAGCACATGTCATGTGTATTTATGTATTTTGTTTTTTATTTCTTGAAATGAAATTCATCGCAATTCGTAAACGCTTAAAACACTTGTGTTTGTGTATTTTATGATATGTGATTAAACCACGAATTACCCACTATGACTGTCAAATAAATAAATATTTAATTAGATTCGTGCAGAATCTGAGTGCGCTACGTTCGACAAACTCGCTGACCTCTTTACAGATTTAAGTTTTTTTCCAATTCTGAATTTTTATATAAGCCTGATGGGTAATATTATCGTCTTTCTCACTCTCACTYACACGTTGTCTATCTGTCACATTATATTCATCTCTCTCACGCTGACAATGAAGGTCACGCAAACAACAATTTGAATCGAGTTGAATGCCATTGAAGAAACAACCGACAGAGCATCGAATCACACAAAATCATCATCTGTTGAAGATTTATTAGAYGATCATTGTTATTATTGTTTTCCCTTTCAATATCAGGAAAATCGTTTATTAAACGTTATAATTTAAAGCRATTGACTCAGTAAWTATAAAATKATAGTAGTACGCGTACAAGTAATAGTATTTATTTGATTATTTATAAATACAGACCTTTTGTCCTATCACAATAATGTTAATAGATGGTACCTATATTTAAATTATTTAAGCATCGTTCAAGTGTTAACAACTCGAAACATATTATACTTTAGTAACAACAGTTAATTCAATTTAGTATATAATATATAAATACGATAAATAAATATAAAGATTATTAATGTATAAWGCAAGAGGCTACGCATATAGACAGTAGCGTATTTTGTTAATGGCATTTTAAATGATGGCGATCAACAAAAAATCTCCCTTTGCTATGTATTTTAGGATTGAACTTTTTTTACTCTTAAACTACATTATAAAATATAAATAAGTAGATCAAAAAAATATTTTCCATTTCCAAGAGTTCACCAGTTATTGATATTTTATAACTCAGAACCAACTTATTGTTAATTATAATACCTAGGTCTCTTATTTTTTGTTTAATTAAATTATTAGATATTTCGAATTTATCGATAAATTTAATATTAAGATAGCAACTAGGTACTCAAATTAATTTCAATTATTATTTTATTTTCCAAGAAAATAAAATGTTTGTCATCTAGGTATTTTCGTTATATTAWAAGTCAGTATTGTACTTAATATAATTATATGTTTCTTTAACGGCAATATTGTAAGTAGTAAATTCTAAGTACTAAATAAATAGGTATAGGTACTTAGTAGTTAGAAATAAACTTCCACAGTATAGAAAGTAGGAGAGCAAAAATAAAGTGTYCTATGCCTTTATATATAATAACATAACCTATAYATCACTTTTTATTATAAATTAAAATTGAAATGGGCACAAACCGTGATAAAAAATAATWAATAATTAATAGGTAACTATTATGGATATATTAATAAATAATTCTTGAGATTTTAGTCATTAACATAGTYTTTAAATAGTAGACTAATGTGTTTCATATTATATTMTTAGACTTATACACAAAAATAAATTAGTTTTTGTCTTAGAACAAAAATCCAAAATTCTCTGCAACTATTTTTTCTCTGATTAAATGTCGTACATTCTATGAACTATAGAATACAATAGTATACAAATATATTATATGTTTCTGAATATGAAAATTCAAAATTGACTAGATAAAAACTCAAATTTCTTTTGAGTTAATATAAAGGCAAAGCTAAATTAATAAATTTTAGCAATCAGTAAGTTAATTTCATTAGATAGTTGGGGGACGAGATGGCCTAGTAGTCTAACGCGTCGGCTGTGGCTCAGCCGGACCGGGTTCGATCCTCGACCATCGGGCGGCATTTTTCTCCGGGCAAGTCATGGTGTCCGGAGAACAAGTGCCRCCATCCCCCACTCCGGGGCATGGCAGAAACCTACGGGTGCCCCAATAGAAATTCTGCCAAACAGGCGTCCGAACTAGGCCTTCGGGCCTACTCCCAGACATAGCACCATACGAAAAAAAAAAAATTAGGTAGTTAAAATTATCTGAACAGTATCTTCATTTRTTACTAACTAACTCATTAATACTCAGCATTTAATTGTGGACAATATAGTATTTATCTGTATTTTACTAGAAACATCAAAGTAAAAAACTCTAACAATAGATTTTCATTTGTTTTCCCAATGGTAGACCAATCTTCACCGAGCAAAAGCCAACATTAAATATATTTGAAATTTAATTTGTAATTAATAAATAACGCTTATAACGAGAATGAAAATTAATATATTATGATGTTGATTAGATTTTTGAAAACATTCATGTCGATTTAATGTAATAATAATAATAATATGTTTTTCCTTGGGGATTTATGTTATTAGAAAATTATGTTTTTATTTAGCATACCTATAAGCGAAAATATTATGAACTATATTATTTTGCATAATACTGTATTTCCACGTTGTTCTATAGAGGATCAGCTGGAATTAATTTTTAAACATAAATATTATATTATGGTACAACGAATGGGTATTAATAACAATAATTACACATTCGTAACGTAGGTGCGGCGTGACTCGATTAAAACACGCGATGTTTACTATTATACTTTTATATAGACCACATCTTGTATTCTCATTTATAAAACATATTAATATATTATTACCTATTATACGTACTCCGTTTTATGCCTCTTTCATTTCGACGAAACACAGTGAATTTTCACTTAACCGTCCCTGATTTTTACGGCGTGCGCCGTCGAAGTGCGAATGGCCATTCCACGCGAACGATATGATTTATTTTTTTCACTTAYGAAGTACCTATCCTGCCCACATCGCAACTCYGAGACCTACAATTTTGTTATTACCGCTGCCGCACCAGTTGCCGGCAAGTAGCGAATCGCCGTTATTGAATTTATTATAAATGACTTTTTGATGTAGTATATTGTTTTAAATGAGATAAATTGTTATATTCGCACTAATGGACGTATCATTATATTATGCCGCAGACAAATTGTCCGGACACTGAGCCTCAAGCGTTTTCGTTGCTAATAAGAACTATGAGCCTTGGAACGCGATGGTAATTTATGCAGACATACGTCAGCCATTGATGGACATCGAAATAAAAAAAAAATACACCAAAACCAGTATATACACGTGAACAAGAGTAATATTAGTTAATTGCACCCGAGATATGCAAATGAGCTGCGATGATAATCAATTTAATTTGAAACGAATCACTCAAAAATTAATAACTCTATTTAGTGCGAATATTATACGTATATGTGCGTGTACATATATATGTGCTTATAGCTGGTGTTGTATTATTATTACTACTATGTTTTTGTGTATAGGTATTATGTATCGTATCGGCACGTACTTACGTCGAAAGTTTTCGTACACAACCTATATGTTAATTGCACGCAGTCAAGGCGTTTTGGAAATAATAATATTATCGATTGCGTAAAACGTAGGTAGGTAGGTACATAATTTATGAATAATAAAAATTATAAGTGATATATTATTATAACATAGGCACACGAAACCGTTATGATATTATGATATTATAATAACGTTTCGGATAAAAAAAAAAAAATAGTGTGTATACAACCATAAGAGTCATATTTTTGTATACAAATGCAACAATATTATATACCGATCGATATTTTTAACCTTTTATTCTGAACACTTTTGGAGGTACACACGTGACCCGTATACATAATAACAATAAAAGTATATAAGTATATCAAATAGTAAGGTAACAAGAAAAAAATTAATGAAAAATTTTACTGTTAAGATAATTCCAATCACTTTTTTACTAGTTTTAAATGTTTTCTTACTTTAATGAAATAATTTATAGTTTAATTTATAATAGTTTATTTTGAGATTTTTTAAATRAGATTTTTCAGAATATGAACAGAGAATGTATTGATTATTTACGATATACTTTATTGTGATATTATTTTTTATAATACAAAAGGATAAAAGTTTATTAGAATATTTTATCATTTTTTTCATATTTGATGTGATTTTTAATGGAAAACTAGATTAGCTTTTTTTTGTTTTGGTGGATCGAGAAAAGAAAATATAAAGTACTTTACTAGACAATTAAGAAAAAATAACAAAATCAGCTGGAAAACGGTGATATTTACGCAACACCGAGTTTTCGACAAAATCAATTTCGTTTGTTTGTTGTTATTCAGATAGGTATACCAATCGCAAAGGCATGCCATTTTCGATAATAATTTAAAAAAGATTTTATAGGCACGATATATATATTTTTCAACAAATATTTTGGATTACTTTTTGGTATTTACAGACATTAAATATTTAAAAGGTTCAAAGCTTGATTTTCATCAGTTGTAAACCTTTGAAGTACCTATAGTGCGTGGATCTTCAAAGTTTATCATTGAAGTTATTAAATGTCAAAAACATATTTATTTATTTTTATTAGAATTTTTACTTTAWGYTTTTAAAGTTCACGATATGTCCAAATTGTATATTTTAAGGAATATTTAATATATTTATTAAGAATTCAAGTTAATAACAATAATATATCACAGTAACAATTTATTATAAAAATCTTAACAACAATAGCAATAGGTACCTACAATAGGCATGAAGTAATATTGTTGGGAAAAAATCATTGACTTGATCAACCTTTTGTAGTAGGTACCATAGAATATTTAAAAAAAATAAAATGTAAAAAAAATATATATGTTGAAAAAAAAATTACACAGCGTTACCAAATTTTAGTATTATTTTGGGTCCATAATATCATTTATTTCACTGATTACATTCGCTTTATGCGTTGGTTCACCAGAGAATAAAATATACGAAAATTCTATCATAACCGTCAGGTTGATGTCATAATGGTTTATCGCGGCGGGTACAATTTTTCTCGACCGAGAACATAATCAATGAGTATTAGGTGACTGATTGTGATTATATTGTTATTATGGTTTACTTAAACACTACTGCTTCTACCACAAACCCAATCCCAAAAAATCATCGTAATGCATGATAAATCTTACCAAATGCAACCAACATATCGGCAATGTTAATCCGTTGAACTTCTTGGCACGGCTCACGTACCTCGTGGCCTTTACGATTAAATTCAACTGGATTTTGATGTTCACGGACAGTGGTATACCTAGATCCTGAGGAAATAAAACTCTATCAGTAATACAATCGGTAAGTGATTAATGACAATATGATTAAAACGAATTGCCAATTGTTCCCATGGTAGCAGGTACATGGTGTCAGAGTGATAACCTTTTGTCTTGCCTATTTTCTAGTTTGATTATTTGACCTTTTAGGAATAATGATTTCGACAGATAGATAGATATTTATATTTTTTAAAGTCCAGGGATATAAATAAACATTGCGTTTGAAGAGCGAGTGATTTTTTTTAAATTTTACTTCCGGTTATTTTAATGATGCAAATTTTAATGTGAGTAAAAAATCATTATAAAAATGGAAGGTTTTTTTAACAATGACATTTTGTTTGATATTTATTACTGTACAAAAAAGTGTAGTCTGCAGTTGTMAATAATTTAATTGTACCTGCAAAGCGTTAACGTCTTGGTGATTCAAGCTGGTTTTGTCGATTTCTATAGCGAGGTTATTGAAACAWATAATATTAATCAATTTTACATTTTAACAAGAAAAATTGAAATTTATTACTGTATTAAATATTTTCAGTATCTAATTCTCGGGATAATGGAACTGTCTCGGTTGACCTTATAATATCGATAATTTCAATATGGTATATAATATATAATATTATATCCATGTATGTATATATACTTTGCACAATGATAGTTAAAAAGTATGCTAAGTAATCTAAAGTAATCCGAATAGAGCAWAGCTGAACGTAAACTATTAGTGAACTTGCGTCGTGATTATTATTCGCCATTCTTTAGGAAGCCCCTAGGGATTTCTATTTGCAGTAAAACCGTATTTTGTCGATATCAAAAAWAACCTAAACGATATTTGAACTTCTTCTTTTTTACTTATTTTTTATTGCGTGTGGTCAAAGAAACTCACATGATAAGAAACCCAACCCCTTATACAAAATAGTTACCAAYTAAGATATTTTTTTAATTTAAAAATTATTGTGTAACAAATTTAAGTTCTTGTGTTTACTAGAAATTTTATGATTAACAAAAATCTTAATAAATATTTCTTATGTAAATATTTTCCTGTGGTAATTTCAGTTAATTGATACTGTTTATATATTTATATATTGCTGTAAATCTAATRGACAATTTTTAAATGCATTTAATTTTATGTTCTATTTAAAATTCGATAACCATAATAGTAACCATACAGTTATGCATAATACCACACTGCTACAATATAGGTAAATACCTATATTCCAAAGTTATACAATGATCTGACATGAAATACAGTACTCTGTAATTGATTCATTGGTTGGAGGGCTTTGATCTAAGTATAACGGTACTTGGGCTTCGAGAGGACTTCTCCCGCCCTCATTTACAAGTTACTAGAACCTGAAGATACGAGAAATATGCCTTCAGACCTCCAAATAAATTTTAACGACTAGTGGATAGTTCCTATATATCTACCCATAATCCTTCACTAGTGATTTATAATGATAATAATACAATATTATAGCCATGGACACTAATCAATAAGGTTTGCTCTAAACGGAMATTTTTAAACGGTGTAATGAATGRCATCATGGTTAAAATTGTAAAATTGTTCATTACCGGTTGTACGGCAACTACCGATTGATGTTTTTCCATGTTGGGAGCAATTCCATTGACATTATCTACCARCGCCGGATCGCCGCCGTAAAAATGTGGAAACGAAACTGCCACTGGTATATCTGTAAGGTAATTCTCAGAGTGAAATATAAAAATAAAATAAAACGTGATGATTACAATAATGATACGGAACTTGCATTAATGCATTGAGTTGACCGCGGTGGAAGCAATAATAAAGTGTGAACGTCACACTTTTAATATTATCATTAATTATCTCCTCCCGTATTCAGAAGTTCAGCATTACATTATTATTAAATTATTACTTATACAACAAACTGAAGCAAGAAAATGTACTGCTTTAAATAGTAAATATATAATAATATAATGTTATAACCTATTATGTTTTCAAAAAGCTCTCTTTTGTTCTTTATCACTTTTAAATACAAACGAGAAAAGCTTTTATGGATAGGTATCATCAACAATAAAAAATGTTATTATACTATTAGAAATAGCACTCCGGCAACTTGTCAATGCTTTAAAATATCATAACAAAGTTTACTAATAACAGTATTATATTAGGTAAGTATATAAATTATTTCAAGTTACACGAAAATAAAAAAATTATAATTCATAATRCAGTAAAACCTCGCTAAGACGGAAACCCCGGTATTACGTAAAATTTTTTTGGTCCCGTTTCAAATTACATATAATTTTATCCCGCTAAGRCGGAAACTTCGACAAACCGGAAACGGAACATTTTTATAATGAAAGTTGATAAAAACCCTCACTAAGACGGAAATACAACATGATTTTCATGTAATACATTTATTATCGTATTGTCGATACCCATAGATAATCATTAATAATCAATATACAAGCGCGTACGATGATATTAAAAACTAATAAAATCGATATGTATACACTATACAACATTACTATCCGAGTTGTTTTGTTCAGTATCAAATCGAATATCGTTGGCCGTTGCGTTCGTATCATTYGTAATCTTTAATTTAATTTAATTCAATTTTTTTAACCCCGTCAAGACGGAACCCCGTTAACACGGAAATACTTCATGGCCCCGTACGATTCCGTCTTATCGAGGTTTTATTGTATACATTATCATAATACAGTTTTAGTATAATGGTTTATTCGTATTTTTTCTACTTACTGTAATAGCACGGCGATATGTCTGACAGTCCGTTTGGCAAGCATCCGTCTCGTGGGCAATAACATGTATTATCGTCCAGAGAAGAATTAAAGACGTTTGGCAAGAATTTGTATAAATATACAGAAGGGTACCCAGCGGGCATTTTGCTGGTAGAGTTATACGTCAGTGGCAACGTCCTGCAAAAGGCTTTTCGRTAAATTGGAAAATTCATATCCTTGGTCAAGTGTCTGGGGAAAAGTAATCCCTCCGATGATGCATTCAATGAACATTTATTCCTATATAATTAAAAATAAAATCCATTCAATTAAACATTCTATATACTGCAGCTTGTATATAATTAAATATTTGCACAAAACAACGTAATAACAACCTACAAGTATTATTATTTATCTTTGTGATATTTTGATAATTGTTGAGCTATCGTAGTTACACTAGAAGCAGTAGAAGCTAATAAAAAACAAAACTACAAGTATAACACCAATCCATGTTATCGAAGTTCATAATATTGTAAAAATGAAATTATGCTGATTCTTGACTAAAGTAACCTCCACTAAATAAATGTGTACTTGGTAGTCAAATTAGCTTCCACTAAATATTTTATACTCCAATTTTTTTTCTCTCTTTGTACTTGCAGGACTTAAAAACTTACGGAACCTTATAAATATCAAAGAACTGATAAAACTGGMTGTTTTTTTAMTGAAAAGTTTTCTTTAACTTCGAATGAATTAACATTTAATCCGTAAGAATCAAAAACATTTGAATTACATTTTAGATTCTGAACGAAGTGATGAATGTATTGATTTTACAATGATGTGTTTTTTTTTTTTGTGTCTGTGTACAGCATAACTAGTCGAAATAATGCTTCGATTTCAAACTTTGGGGATGGTTTCCG